ACCAATTTAGAACAGAAGTATGTACACTATATACAACCATAGGTATTAGTGCACTCCACGGTAAGCAAGGCAGGATAGAAGCCACTAGAGAGCAGACCGTGCTTCAACCAGCTCTAGAATGGGAATGACAAGGGCAGACAGGAGAGTGGTACCCACACAACCTCTGCGATTGCCAAAACCATCTTCTCATTGGCTGGAACCTGGGTACTGGTTGAACGACGGGGCCCCATCGCCAACCCTTAGTTCCCTGGTTCGCTGGTTGGGGGAGATAGCCTGTAAATGAGGGTGTGTATGAATAAAGTGCTGAATAAAGGTTACACACTCTTTGCATGCCACACCATGAATGCCATTTCTTTTCTTAATATTATCAAACCAACCCCCTACTAGCCTTGAAGGATTGAGTTTCAGCACTTGTTCTGATTTTTTTTTTCAGGAGTTCATGATGAAACTGCTTTGCTTTTTCACAAATAATGGCCTTATTACAACCCAAAACACAATCACCATGTAATTGTTTTTTGTTTATCCAAATCTACAAGAGTTTTTCAACCTCTTCACTAATTTGTGGCCTTTACTTAGAGATCACTTTCACTCCTTTTGAAAGGTCAGCTGCATAAATTTTTATTCCTTTAGACCCATGATGGCTTATTTTTTTTTTTAACATGGCTGTCTCCCACCAAGGCAGGGTGACCCAAAAAAAGAAAAAAAATACATTCATCATCATTCAACACTTTCACCTCACTCATACATAATCATTGTCTTTGCAGAGGTGCTTAGATACAACAGTTTAGAAGTCCCTCCAAATTGCCAATATCCCAAACCCCTCCTTTAAAGTGCAGGCATTGTACTTCTCATTTCCAGGACTCAACTCTGGTTAACTGGTTTTCCTGAATCCCTTCATAAAATATTACCTTGCTCACACTCCAACAACTTGTCAGGTCCTAAAAACCATTCGTCTCATTCACTCCTATCTAACACGCTCATGCATTCTTTTTGGAAGCTCTTATAACCAACATATGTAAGCTACCACTTAAAACTAGTATTATCTCATTTTGTGTCTGTGATGAGACATCATTAAATAACTTCACTACAGGAGTAGGTTTCATTGACTGGCAGAGAGAGTTTACTGATGACTGGGGCACTGACAAATGAGAAAATATTTTTTTGCAAAAAAAAAAAAAAAAAAACACAAAGCCTTTACAATAGTTCTTTTTTTTTTTAAACACATCGACCATTTCCCACCAAGACAAGGTGACCCAAAAAAGAAACACTTTCATCATCATTCACTTCATTACTGTTTTGCCAGAGGTGTGCCTACACTACAATTAGAAAACTGCAAGATATCAACACCTCTCCTTTCAGAGTGCAAGTACTGTACTTCCCAACTTCAGGACTTAAGTTTGGCATACTGGTTTCCCTGAATCCCTTAATAAATGTTACTTTGCTCACACTCCAACAGCATATCAAGTTATGAAAACCATTTGTCTCCACTCCTAACATGCTCATGCATGCTTGTGCCCTCCAATATTTCCAAGGCTGACCTCTACCCTGCCTTTCACTGCAGATTTATATTCTCTAAAAGTCATTATATTTTGTTCCATCCATTCTTCCTCAGCCCTCTTGATAATACTTTTAGTAACCCCACACCTCCTCCTAATTTCCAAACTACAAATTCTCTGCATTATATTCACACCACACATTGTCCTCAGACACGACATCTCCACTGCCTCCAACCTTCTTGTTGCAACATTCACCACCCATGCTTTACACCCATATAAGGGCATTGGTATAACTTTACTTCTCATACATTCTTTGTCTCCAGACTCCTCAGCACACCACTCGCCTTTTTCTCCTCATCAATTCTACGATTCACCTTGTCTTTCATAGACCCATCTGCTGACACGTCCACTCCCAAATATCTGAATACATTCACTTCCTCCATATTCCCTCTCTCCAATCTGATATCCAATCTTTCATTACCTAAATTTTATGTTATCACCTTACTCTTTCCTATGTTCACTTTTAATTTCCTTCTTTTACATACCCTACCAAACTTGTCCACCAACCTCTGCATCTTCTCTTCAGAACCTCCCAAAAGCAGCTGTGACAACTTCCACTTTGTGTTAGATTCTTTATCTTTTAATCCCACACCTCTTGCCAATACCCGAACATTCACTTCTCTTACCTCATTTATAAATTTATTGAACAACTATTGTGACATCACACTTCCCTGTCTAAGGCCGACTTTTACTGAGAAATAATCTCCCTCACTCCTACATTCTCAAACCTGAGACTTACTCTCTTCTTAAAAACTCTTCACTGCTATCAGTAACTTACCTCCTGTTGCCATACATTTGCAAAGTCTGACATATTTCCCCCCTATCCACCCTAAAAATATGTTTTTTCCAAACCCATAAGTGCAACAAACACCTCTTTACCCATATATAAATACTGTTCACCTCTATGTTTCTCTTGAAACACTTGGTCTACACATCCCCTGCCCTTCCTAAAGCTTCCTTGCTCATCTGTGATCCTCTTATCTGTCAATAATAACTCTACCATACACTTTACCAGGTATACCCAACATTGTCCTATAAAAACTAAGCAGATCATAGCAGAGAGACTAGGTAGCTCATGGCTAACAAATAGCATCCTCAGATCTGCCAATAAAAAACATAACTACAAAACAATGTAGACTGGGGGCTTAATAACTAAAGAACAAACCAAAAATTATATGTCGGTATTATTCTAGCAGTTTAGTGAAATAGGAGGTGATACAGTAGACCACATCATCCTACACCTTAAACTTGAACATTATGGTATCAGAGGTCATGCAGTTGCATATCAAAAGTCCTGCCTTAGCAACAGACACCAGTATGTCTCCATCAAGGACATAACCTCGTCAATGCGACCTATTGACATGGGTGCCCCAAGGCCCTCTCTTTTCTTCATATACACATCAATGATCTTCCAGATGTATCTCAACAACTTAGACCTGTTCTGTTTCTTTATGATGCAACTTTTGTCATCTCCCACCCAAATTCAGATTCCCTCAATAACACCATTAATGATGAGCTCATAAGTATATCTACCTGGATGACTACTAACAAACTCACTTTTAACATTGGTAAGGCCTTCTATATGATGTTTAGGAACAGAGCTACAAATGTCTAACTGCATGTTGTGATAAGCAGTTCTTCCATTGTAAGACAAAATGAAGGAAAATTCTTAGGGTTGTTCCTCAACAGTAACTTGAAATTCAAAACCAACATTCAGCATATTACAAAAAGTATCCAAATCACTTGGCATCCTCCCTATACTATGTACTCTTCTAATCTGTCCCTACCTTACCTATGCTATTTGTGCCTGGGAATCCATTACAGCACACCACCTAAAGCCAATAATAACTCAACAAAAAGCAGTTTGAATTATCACCCAGTCTAGTGTCAGACAATACTTCCCCATTCTTCGACAGTCTAAACTTAATATACATACAATCCACTCGTACTACTGTGCATACTACATATACAGGACAATCAATTCTAATATCAATCCTGCCGTGAAACTCTTTCCTGATAACTGCAACAGAGTTCATAGACAATACTTTTTTTTTTTTTCAACAAACCGGCCGTATCCCACCAAGGCAGGGTGGCCCAAAAAGAAAAACGAAAGTTTCTCTTTTTAAATTTAGTAATTTATACGGGAGAAGGGGTTACTAGCCCCTTGCTCCTGGCATTTTAGTCGCCTCTTACAACACGCATGGCTTACGGAGGAAGAATTCTGTTCCACTTCCCCATGGAGATAAGAGGAAATAAACAACAACAAGAACTAGAAAGAAAATAGAAGAAAACCCAGAGGGATGTGTATATATACATATATATGCTTGTACATGCATGTGTAGTGTGACCTAAGTATAAGTAGAAGTAGCAAGACGTACCTGAAATCTTGCATGTTTATGAGACAGAAAAAAAGGACACCAGCACCCCCTTGTTCATAGACAATACTAGACACAAAAATCTCTTATGATATTCCCCATGTCTGACTCAACCTGTGTAAAAACTCAATGTGTATGAAAGGATCTAAAATCTGGAACTTTTTGCTTGAAGGTTGCAGAGGCTTCCCTCTGTCTGCCAACCACTTCAAAGCTTTTGTCAAAACCAACACCTTACCTTAATATGATCCTAACAACAATATGGTGAACAAATCCTGGAACCCTGTCTCGTGCAATATTACAACAAATAACCTGCATATAGGAGAAAGGAGCTTACAATGATGTTTCAGTCCGACTTGGACCATTTACAAAGTCACACTAACAAAAAGGAGAGAAGGAGGGAGTATATATAGGCCAGCAGACATTGATGGGAACAAGAGAAGTAGAAGGAAAGGAAGAAGAGAGGTAGTGGTGGAGGTAATAGTGGTAGTAGCAGGTTATTTGTTGTATTGTTCCAGTCATGGTATTGTGCCTTTTTTGTTATTCATGCAACATTGTTCCAGTTCTTGTTCCAGTGTGTTAAAAAAAAATATTGTTGGAGTCATTTCTGGTATGGTCATAGTGGGAGGAAGGGGGTAAAGGAGGTTTAGAGTGTTAAGGGCTTGAGCCTCCAGCAATGTAACATTTATGAAGGTATTCAGGGGAAATCAGTTAGCCAGACTTCATTCCTAGAAGAGGAAAGGGCACTCTGATAGTCATGGGTAGTCAAATGGTTATCTGAATTGGGGTGTCAGCTCACTTCTGGGAAGACATTAAATCAATGAGTGATTTTTTTTTTGTCATCCTTACCTTGGTGGGAAATGGCTGATTAGAAATAAAAAATGTTTTGATCAAGTTTTTAAGTTATTCAAGATGGTACCGTACTCCATGGCACTTCTTGTCAATTTGTTCCACTCATTTACAAATTTGCTGTTACAAATGAGTGCTTTTCTGCATCTTATCTAAATTATGCAAATTTGATCCATTGTTTAAAATTATTTCTTATAACATATTGCTTTAATTTCTTTTTCAGAAACTTTTAGGAAAAGAAATGTCATTTTTTCATCTCAGGATGGAGTGGTGCTGGAACCGACATGATGGGAACTTTGAGAAAGTTCTGGTTAGCCCTGACAGAGAAGCATCATCCAGTGACAGTGATGATAATGATGATGATGATGATCATGAAGATAATTGCATGGTATAAACTATTTTAAGCATAGTGTGTGTAAATGATGAATCTGCATAGGAACACAATAAATATTAATGAATTTGCATTATGTATTTTTTTTATCTTCATATTGTATAGTGTGATACAAATGATAGCAAGCTGTTGGAATCAGCATGCAGATCTTAATTTGATCTGCATATGATTAACTTTGGTTTTGGTGACGGCTATATTCAATGTTAGAAGTGAGTTTTAGCGGAAATAAGGAAATCTTTACAAATATAATACGTGAGGAATTAAGACAAGGGAAGAGGGATGTTTGAATGTGATAAATATATTTTTTGTTTCATATTGCTTTAGTTACTTGTAGTTAGTAGGTTGGTAGACAGCAACCACCCAGGGAGGTACTACCGTCCTGCCAAGTGAGTGTAAAACGAAAGCCTGTAATTGTTTTACATGATGGTAGGATTGCTGGTGTCTTTTGTCTGTCTCATAAATATGCAAGTACAGGTACGTCTTGCTACTTCTACTTACAATTAGGTCACACTACACATACATGTACACGTTTATTTATACACACTCATCTGAGTTTTCTTTGATTTTATCTTAATAGTTCTTGGTCTTATTATTTCCTTTTAAATCCCTGGGGGAAATGTCATCATGGCTTGGCCCTCCCTAGTTTTGAAAGGTTCTCATTATCCATCCTGTCATTTTTTAGCAGATGCGATTGATACCAATTTATGGTCCTTGAAGAAGAGTGAGATCCTCTGACATGATCCACTCCAGGTCTTTGACGTGGTGTTTCGCTCTATTTTGTGGCCAGAATTTGTTTTGTACTCTGATGAAGATTTAATTTCCTCGTGTTTACATTATCTGAGTAATTGAAATTCTCATCGTTGAACTTCATATTGTTTTTTCTGCAGAGCCCACTGAAGATTCGGTTTGATGTCCGCCTGGAGCCTTGCCAGTATCTGCAATGGAAGACACTGTCTGCATTAAATGAGTAAAAAAACGAGACCGTAATTTCGATTAAAATAGCGACTTTGCAGAGTTTTTTTCGTTATGTGTTTTATAGTTGTATTTATTTCTGGTTTCTCATTGACTGAATGGGTATAATATTTAGAATAGAGATGACTTTGATTGGTTTTAGTACTGGAAATGGCTTGAAACGGAGCTCAAAATAGCAGAAAATGGTTAAATTTTTGCCTCGATGTACAAAGAGTAAACAATGAGCCTCAAACATCTAATACACACCAGTGGTGGGGGTGTAATACACGTTCACAATTGTGGTGATATTATTTATACAATTATTACAATATGCATAACAGTAAATCTTCTATTTTTGGTTTAATGAACAATTCATTTTATGAATAAAAAATCAAATGGAAATTCATTTGGTAAAGCCTGAAAACAATAACTAATGAACAGAGGGGAATGTTAGTTTAGTGCCAGGAAATGCCTGCATTGTTTATTCTGGACCTATTTTGGAATTTGAATTTTGAACTTTGTGTAATTGACAATTACCAATTTCCGATCACTTTATTTTGGTAGTTGCAAACAAGTTGACCTTGGTGATTTCTTGTGCTCACTCGATAGGGTAGAAGTATTACTAGTGAATAGCTCAGAATTTTGTCGGACTGGAATAATATTATAATTGGCCTAAAATGGAAGTCGAAATCTGTTTAAAAATTGCCGATGCGGTAATATCGCCTGACGCATCAAAATTCGCGAGTAGCATAATTTCGTCAATTTTCATCAAATTTCGTTACTTTTTGTTTTATTACATTCAGGAGAAAAGATTCTCTACCATTTCATAAGGATAAATAATTTTTTTTTTTTTTTTTTTTTTTTAAATTCTTGGACCTGGTTGCACATTTTGAAATTGAGCATTCTGGGCCCTGAAAGGGGTTAATGAGGTACTTTTTGACAGTAGAAACTAAGACCTCATGAACCCACTCAGTAAAACATTGTCTTGTTTTACCTAAGGTTTTGTGTTGGCCCTCCACCATTACAGCCAATTTATAACAAAAAATAGGCAATACGCAAATAACCCGCACATAGAAGAGAGGGAGCTCATGACGAAATCGTCATCGTAAGCTCCTCTCTTCTATGTGTGGGTTATTTGTGTACAGCCAATTGCTTCTATTAGAATATTGTTCTTAAAAACTGTGGGTTTTGGAATGATAAACAAGTAAGGGCTCCAATTTCAAATCTGCACTTGCATTACTCACCAGTAACAGAGTGAGCCTGTTTTCCATTGGATTTGTGTCCTGGCATTAACTTTCCTTTCAGTTATGTAGGTTCTTGGGAATTTTTTTCAGAAGAGGCCTGTGTCATCACAATTTCCACTTGTTGGGGGGACAAACCCTTACCTCTACGTACTCTGGAATTTAGTAACTTCTTTTCAACAGCCACTTTGTCAGCACTGGCAGCCTCCCCATGCCTAGTATTACAACCCAGGAGTTCCCAAAGGCCTGTTTATCCTGGGTTGTTAAAGGGAGCAATATAAACATAGCAGAAAATACTTTTGATTTATTATCCTTCACATTTAGAACGAGTATGTACACTATATAAAACCATAGGTATTAGTGCACTCCAGGTAAGCAAGGCAGGATAGAAGCCACTGAGAGCAGACCGTGCTTCAACCAGCTCTAAATGGGAATGACACAGGGCAGGACAGGAGAGTGGTACCCACACAACCTCTGCGAATTGCCAAAACCATCTTTCATTGGGGCGGAACCTTGGTAACTGGATTGAACGACGGTGGCCAGCGCCAACCCTTAGTTCCTGGTTCGTGGTTGGGGGAGTTAGCCTGTAAATGGGGTGTGTATGATAAAGTGCTGAAATAAAGGTTACACACTCTTTGCATGCCACACCTAGGCCACACCATGGAATGCCATTCTTTTCTTAATATTATCAACCAACCCCCTACTAGCCTTGAAGGATTGAGTTTCAGGCACTTGTTCCTGATTTTTTTTTTCAGGAGTTATGTGAAACTGCTTTGCTTTTTCACTAAATAATGGGCCTTATTAGCACCCAAAACACAATCACATGTAATTGTTTTTTGTTATCCAAATCTACAATGTTTTTCAACCTCTTCACTAATTTGTTTGGCCTTTGACTTAGAGATCACTTTCACTCCTTTTGAAAGCGTCAGCGCATAAATTTTTATTCCTTTAACCCATGATGGCTTATTTTTTTTTTTTAACATGGCTGTCTCCACAAGGCAGGTGACCCAAAAAAAGAAAAAAAAAATTACATTTCATTCATCATTCAACACTTTCCCCCCCCCCCAAAACCCCCCTCACTCATACATAATCATTGTCTTTGCAGAGGTGCCTAGATAAACAGTTAGAAAGTCCTCCAAATTGCCAATTTATCCCAAACCCCTCCTTAAAGTGCAGGCATTGTACTTTCATTTCCAGGACTCAACTCTGGTTAACTGGTTTCATGAATCCTCATAAAATATTACCTGGCTCACCACTCCAACAACTTGCAGGTCTAAAAACCATTCGTTCTCCATCACTCCTATTTAACACGCTCATGCATTCTTTTTGGGAAAAGCTCTTATAACCAACATATGTAAGCAACCACTTTAAAAACAGTATTATCTCATTTTGTGTCTGTGATGAGACTCATTAATAACTTCATAGGGAGTAGGTTTCATTGACTGGCAGGGCTGAGGGTGTTTTAATGATGATGGGGCACTGAACAAATGAGAAAATATTTTTTTGCCAAAAAAAACAAAAAAAAAAACACAAAGCCTTACAATGTTCTTTTTTTTTCTTAAAACACATCGACCATTTCCCACCAAGACAAGGCCCCCCTCCCCGCACCCCCCCCCCCCAAGAAACACTTTCTCATCATTCACTTCATTACTGTTTTGCCAGAGGTGTGCCTACACTACAATTAGAAACTGCAAGATTTCAACACCTCTCCTTTCAGGTGCAAGTTACTGTACTTCCAACTTAGGACTTAAGTTTGGGCATACTGGTTTCCCTGAATCCTAAATAAATGTTACTTTGCTCACACTCCAACAGCATATCAAGTTATGTTGAAAACCATTTCGTCTCCACTCACTAACATGCTCATTTGCTTGCTTGTGCACTCCAATATTTCAAGGCTGACCTCTACCCTGCCTTTCTCTGCAGATTATATATTCTCATATAAGTCTTTTATATTTGGTTCATTCCATTCTTCCTCAGCTATGGATATTTGATACTTTTTTGTTACACACTCACCTCATCGAATTTCCATACTACAATTCTCTGCATTATATGCTCACCACACATTGTCCTCAGACACGACATCTCCACTGCCTCCAACCTTCTTGTTGCAACATTCACACCCATGCTTTACACCCATATAAGGGCATTGGTATAACTTTATTCCATACATTTCTTTGTCTCGAGACTCCTCAGCACACCACTCGCCTGTTTCTCCTCATCAATTCTACGATTCACCTTGTATTTATAGACCATCTGCTGACACTCCACTCCTCAAATATCTGAATACATTCACTTTCTCCATATTCCCTCTCTCAATTCTGGATATCCAATCTTTATTACCTAAATTTTATGTTATCACCTGACTCTTTCCAATGTTCACTTTTAATTTCCTTCTTTTACATTACCCTACCAAACTTGTCACCAACCTCTGCCTCTTCTCATTCAGATCTCCCAAAAAGCAGCTGTGACAACTTCCACTTTGTGTTAGATTCTTTATCTTTTTAATCCCACACCTCTTGCCAATACCGAAACATTCACTTCTTTTACCTCATTTATAAATTATTGAACAACTATTGTGACATCACACTTCCCTGTCTAAGGCCGACTTTTACTGAGAAATAATCTCCCTCACTCCTACATCTCAACCTGAGACTTACTTCTCTCTTAAAAACTCTTCACTGCTATCAGTTAACTTACTACTGTTGCCATACATTTGCAAAGTCTGTCATATTTCCCCCCTATCAACCCTAAAAATATGTTTTTTCCAACCCATAAGTGAACAAACACCTCTTTACCCTATATAAATACTGTTCACCTCTATGTTTCTCTGAAAACTTATGGTCGACACATTCCCCTGCCTTCCTTAAGCTTCTTGCCTCAT